TCCCCCAAGCTGGCCTTTGCTTTTCCCTTCAAGTTTTCATCCCTGCTTTTTTTTTATTTTTCTTTTTTTTTTTTTTTTTTTTTTTTTTTGGTGTGTCTTCAACCCTTTAAACTGGAGTTTTCGAGAGCATTAGCTTTCATATCTCCTTGAGTGAAGAAGGGGTATTTTTACATGATGGCATTTTGTGTTAAAACAAGCAGATGACAATTTTCGGAGTGCGGTACTTAAGGAGCTATTTCCTGACAGGAGACGGGGGAAAGTAGCAGTTTCCTCAGGCGCTCAGATTGCTCCTTTCTGCTCTCTCCCATAATGTTCACTCCCCCATCATGCTCTCAATTTCCTTTGAGTACAAATCCATCTGCATGAAAATATTTTAAAATATTGCCTATTACATCCCATTCCATGACAGGGAAGAAGCCCCGGAACAGACAGGAAAATGTAATCACATTCTCCATCTGTCTCCTCACTTGCAACTAAGAATTCTACATCCACCACTGGCCATGGCCATGGTGATCCCAAGTGAACCCCACCGGAGAGGCTTCCAAATCATCGCAAATTTACCACTTAGTACTGGTTTGGGCACGAAATGGCTCAACCTGCCTCTGCTGAACCCAGCTCCAAGCATCACATCCTCACCACAGTCAAACAGAAAGAGAGAACACACCACGAACCCTGAAGAGCAGGGAATCTTGACCTTCTCAGACCCCTTCTGAAAACTAATGAAAGCTTAGACAATATTGCAAAACTTATCGATGTCAAGATTTTGTTCAATACATCATTTCCTTGGCATATTGGAACTTAGAATCATAGAAATGCCTAAGTTGGAAGGGACCTTTCAGATCATGGAGTCCAACCATCAACCCAGCACTGCCCAAACCCCCACTGACCCATGTCCCTCAGCACCACCTCTGCCCGGCTTTGAAATCCCTCCAGGGATGGGGACTCCACCACTGCCCTGGGCAGCCTCTTCCAAGGCTTCACAACCCTTTCCAGGAAGGAATTCTTCCCCATATCCATCCTACACCTCCCCTGGGGCAACTTGAGGCCATTTCCTCTCATCCTAACC